CACGCGCACGCACGCACACGCCCACACGCACACACGCACACACGCGCACACGCGCACACGCGCACACGCGCACACGCGCACACGCGCACACGCGCACACGCGCACACGCGCACACGCACACGCACACGCATACGCACACGCACACGCACACGCACACACGCCCGCACGCGCACACGCGCACACGCACACACGCGCACACGCGCGCACACGCACACGCACACGCACACGCACACGCACACGCACACGCACACGCACACGCACACGCACACGCACACGCACACGCACACGCACACGCACACGCACACGCACACGCACACGCACACGCACACGCACACGCACACCACACACACACACACACGCACACGCACACGCACACGCACACGCACACGCACACGCACACGCACACGCACACGCACACGCACACGCACACGCACACGCACACGCACACGCACACGCACACGCACACGCACACGCACACGCACACACACACACACACTCACTGGTCATGTTTTCACCGGAAGGCCTGCCGAAGCAGCGGCCACAGTCTCCGCGGAGGAGGATTTCGACTACGGAGCCAGCAGCTCAGCTCGACAAACACCAAGAGAGCCACAAGCAAATCCGGTGCAAGAAAAGGTTAGACAACTAGGTCCCCCAGTAGTGCCCTTTTACCCTTTTTTTGGGGAGGGTGCCCCTACTAAAAAATAGACTACAGCAAAAAATGGTACCCTTATTTTAACCTCTCTACTGGAGAACCTAGACAAGGACAGTCGCAACAATCGTCCGTCCTTTTGATCTTTTTACAGGGTTTGGGCTAGACCCATCTAGTACCAGGTGTCAAGACGGGCTTTCGTTGGCGCTTCTTCTGCGTTTTGTCGCTGCTAGAGTCAAAATGAAGACCGCTGTCCTCTTGGTGCAGAGAGCGGTGCTGGCATTTGCTTCGACGGTGAACGAATATCAGTGGACACTTTTGTCTTGCAGACGCAGTGTGTGGCCTGAATCATAAGGCTGGCAAGGACTACTGGGACAAGCGGTATCAGGCCTTGTGCCACTGAAGTGACAAGCGGAATGATTTTTGGGTCCTTGCTTCGAGCGTGCCAGAATGAAGTCGGCAGTACCTACGACTGGCAACCGCCTTAAAATTTGTGCTGAGATGGAACGGTTTGCAAAGGCTTTTGCAAGGATCATTGACCCGAGAACTCCCTGCAGTTTCAGAATGCAGAGGAACCTCAAGATAGCCTTGCCAACTTGGCATCGCCTGAAGGCTTGGGGGCTACGAGAAGTTCCGAGAGTTTATTGAGAGCCTCGGCTTCACATCACTCGCCGAGTCAACTGTGAAATGCAGCGCGCAGTCTAACCTCTACTGACCTCTTCATGATCGGAAACAGTTACTTCACTGCTACAATTTGTGTTCAACTACGACTGCAATACGGAATATAGGTTTTCATCAGCTTGACACCGCGGCGGTACAGCACAGAACTAGCGGAACATGGCCAACATGAACATGAAGCCACGCGCACACACACACACAAATGAGTGTGAAGCGCTTTGACGGGCATCTGAGGCAAGCGACAAAGGACCTGCCCGACGGGCCCGGGCACCTCGAGATCCAACGGGGCAGGTATCACAAGGGGGGGCCTTCCCATGGGCCAGTTGGCTGTTTCAAAAAGCTTCTCCAAATGTCTATGGAGCTTGTTTGATCGTTTGGGTATGTCTACTTTTTATCTAGGCCTCTCACGACGTTTTGCTGCTCGCACGCGGAAATCACCGCAAGACTGGAGCGGGAAGCTACGAAGTCTTTGGAGCCTGTCCCCATCCACTCACAATGATTGCTTTGGACTACGCATTGAGCAGTCCGGGCAGCTTTTCATGATCCATGATCCATGATCCATGTCTGAATTTCCAGGATCCACTGGGCAGCTTTCCATGTGCCGAAACCTGGGTGGGGTGAGGCGGGGGACAAGCAGGCCGCACTCCGCGCGGATCCTGGACCTGGGCTGCGGCAACGCGCGCCTGGCGGAGGCGCGAGATCCGGACGGATAAATAAAGAGAGACCTAATGAGAATGAAATTTTGAAAGAAAAAGAAACGGAAATGATATCTTCGTTCCTCAGCCTTTCCATAAAGACACTTTTCTATTTCTCTTTACTTCTTCTTTAGAATTCTTTTATTTTGGAAATCATTACATTTAGAAGTTACATCAGATTCATTTTGTTTTCTTATTAATATTTCTATCTTATTAATCTTTGCAAATATTATAATTCTATTTATCTTTACAGGATTGAATATTTATTGTTGGACTGGAATTCACTTCTCATAGAATTATTTTCTTATATTATTTCATCTTAGTTTATTATTTATTTATAGTGTTCATATTTGGTCTAGAGATTCCAGCCCCGTTGAGACAAGTGAGGTTGATCAACATTCCCTTCGGACCCCAATTGACTGGGGGTCAAAAGTGATGGGATCCCATTTTGGGTTAGGTGAATGCACCCATTTTAGAGCCTATTTGAGTGGGGATTGGGATGTTCACTGGGGGTACGGGGTTTTGACCCATGGCCAAATGACCATGGGCAACTTTTCCCATGTAGGACATATCATCTTAGTGGTTTTCCCCCACGGTCATCCCATGTATCGGACCTTTGAACCCCCAAATCTGTGCCTGTCCCTACTCGTAGCTTTGCAGGTCTGCACGGTTCTTTGCCTTTGGCCATTTGGTCGTCCCTTTGGCCATTTGGTCAGGACATGTACGATGAAGGCTTTCGCAACATCACCGCGCTTGACATTTCAGATGCGGGCTCGGCACGCTTGCCGCGTGGCTTCACTGACTGGCCATGCGGCTCGGCAGCTTTTCCCCGCGTCGAGCGAGAGCGCCAGGTCGCCATCGAGTCCATGCGCCGGAGCCTCACGAAGCCGAGCGCGGAGCATCGCTTGCCTGGGCCAGGCTCGCGGAATGCAGAGAAACGACCCGGCATTGAGTGGGCCTGCCACTCACCGGGGAGCCACGAGGTGAACTCCCGAAGTGTTGCGACTTTGGCTCTCCAAGGTTGTCGGCGATGCATTCAACCTGGAGTTTGAGGATGGGCAGCAACTGGCATTCCGGTCAAATGTCGGAAGATGTTTGCTGAAGGCAAAGTGCCAAGAGAGAGAGAGAGAGAGTGAGAGAGTGGCTAGGATGGCTCCTTCGATTTGGTCATTGACAAGAGTACGCCTTCTGCTCAGCGACCTGAGTTCACTGCCCCTGCAAACAAAGCCCCGTGCCTCGGTCCCAGGACTGATGCCGTGTCCTGCGACAAAGACCACATTCACGAGAATTTGCTTGGGCCTTTGAGTGAAACCTTGTGCCTAGGTGCTAGTTTCCAATCTGGACATGCCGCTTAGCAAAATCGACCAAGTTGTGCCATGCTCACCAGTCGCTGCTTGACATTTGCTTCAGTTCAGCATGCACCTCTGTCCTTATGCCAGTTTTTGTGGTTTGCTTTTCCTGTGCAGTTCTTTGACGGGCATCATGTTTGCAAGAGTTGTTCATATTCAAACTTTCTTGGCCTGGATGGGTTTGGCAGAAAGAGGATTGAGAGCACGCGCCTTGATTGATTGATTGATGGTTCAAGTCAGGCTAGCTGCAGGGCGCACATTTTCTTGGGTATGAAACGGCATTTTCATGGACACGGCCATGGCCCTGCGCTTGTGCCCTCCTTGACAGTGCCTGCAGAGGCAATACCCTTGACAGTGCCTGCAGAGCCTGACTTTTCGCAGTTCTTCCAATCTGGCGTTCATTGTGCAGTGATCGAGCGCATGCGCCGTTCTGGGTTGATGTGCGATGCAGACATTGCTGGCCTGCGACCGGATGAGCTGGTGACAGCCATGTCTGGCTTTATTGACGATGAGGAAGCTGGATGGTACATCGAGCTTGCCCGTGGCGCTTTGGCATTCCTTGCCAGGCGTGCCAGTGGAGCCCCGCAGTGCGCTCGCCCTGTTGAAGGCCTCCCTGTGCCTGCTGTCAAACGGTGCAGGCTTGTGGGTAGCATTGCGCCGGGCGCCTTTCAGTGGTCGCAGAATGCTCTGACTGCCCTGAGGCCAGTTCACCAGCACTCTGAGATGGTCCATGCTTGCTGGGAGATCTATGCCGCCCTTGGCACGCATGGCGAGTTGTGGTCACCGTTGCTTGAGGAGCACCAGGCCATTGCTCGCGAAGGCCTGGCGAGTCGGCTGCAGATCTTTGAGCGGCGCACTCTGCAGGCGCAACTCAGCGCCCTGAGGCGGTGGGCCAATTATGTGTTGCAGTTTGGCAAAGGGCCTGCAGAAGTTCTGTTGCCTCCGGTTGCCCTGCTTTTTTCCTTCCTTAAGCAAGCGTCTGACGGAGGGCCAACTGCAGCGCAAGGACTTTTCCAGAAGCTGTTATGGTGGCGTCGGCATGTCGGCATACCATTCCCGCTGGGCGACCCCATGGTTGCAACGTGGAACCGAGTGGCCGAGGGACACTCTATCCAGCCTCGTGTGCCTTTGAGCTTTCGTGCTTTTCAGGCGCTCTGCAAGCTGGCCCTTGGTGGTTCCACGAACGTTGCTACGTTCGCATCTTTAGCCCTTATCCCATTAGTGGCTTGCCTGAGGTTCGCCCACGCGCAGCGATCAGCTGATTCGACGCTGTCCCACGACTTTGCTCGCGCGGTTTGCTTGAAGGGCAAGTCGCGCAAACATGGCACGCGGCCGTCGTTCGAATGGGCTGCTCCGATGCATGTTGGCAAGTGGAAGCATGTTTTGGGCTTAGCGTCAAGGGTCATCATTGACTTGCGCAGCCAGGTGCCTGACTTGTCCTTTTGTATCCCAGATGTTGCCTGTGGGCCCTCCGGTTGCCTGGACGAGCGTGCGCATTGGCGAGCAGCCCCGATGCCAATGGCGCGCTTTGTGAAGCTGTTGCACTCAGTGTTACGTAGCGAAGGTTTGCCTGATGCAGAAGTAGGCCTTATCAGCACTTACTCTTTGCGACGTTTTTTGCCAAGTGTAGCAGAGGTCTTGCGAACGCCAGTGGAAGTTGCCCAACACTTGGGAAACTGGACGGAGTCAGTTACGACCAAGCATGCCCAGCCAATGCCAGTGCAGATGAGCCAGCACTATGCTCATGACAGAGTGCTCTCCGCTGGGCACACTAAAGCTTTGTTGTGCGCAGCAGTTCAGGAGTTGCTCGAGACAGAATCCGGGCCGCTCGATTGGCAGTCTTTCCGCACAAAAGGGCTCAGCTGGCAGCAGATTTTAAATCGACATTCTGCTTTGACTCCTCCAGCAGACAAACCAGTAAATTGCCAGGGAAGTGACAGCGAAGCAAGCAGTGACGAGACTTCGTCCTCTTCCGACGGTGGCTCAAGTCACGAAGGGTTGCCGCATGACTTAGAGTGGTTTCGTTTTGCCCGTGGGGTTTCTCATATCGCACGTGAGCGCTCCCAATCCCAACCTGTTCCTTGGTGCCGTGGCACTCCGTTTGCGGGAATTCCCTTGGAGTGGGGCATCGGAATAGAGCCAGGCTTGCAGATTTGTGCCAAATGCCAAGCCTGCGTTCCACCGCACATTAAACGAGCAATCGACTCCTGCAAATAGACAGTGAAAGAATTCTGCGGCTGTGCGTAATAGGTCAGTGTGTTTGCCACTAAATTTCCTGACAACACAAGACACGCGGGTTTCAGGGCTTCGGGGGCCTTACACTCATGTTTTGTGGCCCTTCGGCCCTCGGCCTACATTTATGTCTTGTTGGCCCCCCTGTTTCTTTGCAAGCTTCAGCTTTGGCAAAGGCTTCTTGTTGCGGGGTTGTGCCTACTCTTATTTGATTTGTTTTCCTTTCACACGGCAGGCTTTTCCCCGAGTGGCGTGAGGCATGTCCAGTTTCAGGGCTTCGGGGGCTTCGCGCAGCCTTTTGGGTGCGTGGCCCTTCGGCTCTAATTGTTGTTTGTTTGTTGGCCCCCCTCTCTTGCAGATGCGGGTTTGTGCCAACTCCTTTTTTTTTAAAAAAAAAAAGATTTGATTGGCAAGTTCATCCAAAGTGACGTGAGACATGTCCAGTTTCAGGGCTTCTGGGGTTTCGCTGGCCCCCCTTCTCTTGCAAACTTTCGGCTTTTGCTGGGGTTTCTGCTGTTGCAGGGTTGCGCCCCCTTTGTTTTGACGGGCAGCTTTTCCCGAGTCACCATGACATGTCCAGTTCTAGGGCTTTGAGGGCTTCGCGCAGCCTTTTCGGTGCGCGGCCCTTCGGCCATTGACCTACGCTTGTTTTTGTTGTCGTAGGGATGCATCCACTCTTTGCTTGGCCAGGCTAGTCTTTTACTGATCTGGGACGAAGGTTTACGGAGATTTGTGTGTTTGCCAACTTTCAAATTCCCTCAGTCACGCGAGACATGTCGGGTTTCAGGGCTTCAGGGGCTTCGCGCAGCCCTTGTGGTTGCGTGGCTCTTCGGCCCTCGGCCTTAATTTGTGTAGTGTTGGCTCCACCCTTTTTGTGGCAAGCTTTCAGCTTTGTGCACTGGTTTTTCACTTGCTAGTCTGTTGTTGGGAATGATGCTTTACACGTGCATTTACACGACCTGCAGAGCTTCAACCATTGTGTTTGACTTTCCGTTGCTCGCTGCAGTCGCGGCCCATGTGTAGAATGCAGTTCCAACCCTAGCCATGCCAGCTCCTGGCACTAAGCCTGTTGCCAAAGATAAGGAGGCATTGCTGCAATTGTTTCGGCAACACCGCCTTGCAGACCCTTTGATTGAGCACTTGACAAAAATAGGCCTGGAGAGCTTGGCAGATTTTGTGGGCATAGTCGATAGCAAGGCGTTCGAGTCTGAGTTGAGTTTGAGCTGAAGGATGGGTTTCGCGAAGTGTTGCAACAGGACATCGATACTGTTCTGCAGGAGGGAATCTTGTCTTCCGGGCGTGCAGCCAAATTGCGAGGCAAACTTGGCTGGTCTGCGTCAGGAACGTGTGGCCGATGTGCTCGCGGGGGCCAGGCGCCTTTGGTCCGCCGTCAGTACTTTGACACGGTGGATGTCCTTGATGAGCCTTTGAAGGACTCTCTTAGGTTCCACAGTCTTCTTGCCTGTGTAGTGCAGCCTCGCCAAGTGCAGGTCCTAGGCGCAGTTTTGCCTCCAGTGCGCATTTACTCTGACGCATCATACGAGCCTGACACAGATCTTGTTGCAGGTGTTGGTTTTGTTGTGTTTGACGCTGCCAGTGCCCAGCCCCCTGTGGGCATGGCTGCCCGACTTGCGCCGCAGGTTTTGCAGCTCTTTGATGAACGCCACCAGCAGATTACACCTTGCGAAGCCTTGTTGAGTGTAATTGTGCCTTGTAATGTCCCCCATCTTCTGGTTGGGCGCGATCTCATTTGGTACATTGACAATCAAGCAGCTTGCCAAATTCTCACCAAGGGTGCCAGTAGTGCAGGGGATTTGTGCTTCATCGCATCACTAGCGCATCTCCTGTACGCAAAGCTGAGTTGCAGGGTGTACTTCGAATACATCGAGTCGAATGCAAACCCTGCAGATGGTCTCTCCCGTGATGGCCTTGATGATGCGTGGACCTTTTCCCAAGGTTGGTCCTTGCTGCCGGCAATTGTGCCTGATTTAGTTCGCATTGCAGCGTCTTCGCTTGCAGCAGCTTTGACGGCATTGTAGCATTGGGGGGAACTTTGGGGTGGCTTGATTACACACACACACACACACTTCAGAGCGCCCTGTGGCTTTCACCTGCACTTTGTGCTGTGCGCCCTCTTGGCCTCTGTGTGTGTGCAAGCTTTGACTAACCCAATGACACTCCCTTCTTCAGCTTGCAGACATCGGCATTATCTCACACTGCATGCGAAAAAAAGAGTGCGCCTTCTGCAGCAAGTTGCCGAGCTTTCATTCAAACTTTCTTGGCCTGGATGGGTTTGGCAAAAAGAGGATTGAGAGCACGCGCCTTGATTGATTGATTGATGGTTCAAGTCAGGCTAGCTGCAGGGCGCACATTTTCTTGCCCGCCCACCACGCCCTGGCATTGCCAAGAGTCTTGGCCTGCCTGTGATTTCTTCTGCCAAGCTTGAAGTGGGGTGGCTTGATTACACACACACACACACACACTTCAGAGCGCCCTGTGGCTTTCACCTGCACTTTGTGCTGTGCGCCCTCTTGGCCTCTGTGTGTGTGTGCAAGCTTTGACTAACCCAATGACACTCCCTTCTTCAGCTTGCAGACATCGGCATTATCTCACACTGCATGCGAAAAAAAGAGTGCGCCTTCTGCAGCAAGTTGCCGAGCTTTCATTTGTTTGACAATGAGTCTGCGCCGGCTTCTTGTTTTGCTGTGACGCTGAGGACAAAGATGTATGGAGAAGCACAAAGAGTGCTGAAGGATGCACGCTCCTGAATGGAGAAATGTATTCCGCGAGCTTTTGCTGTCTATCGTGGTCATGCTCCGGAGCATGCTCAGGGGGGCACCTTCCTGGTCTTCAGCGCTGTGGAGAGCGTGGCGCCAGCAGTTGAGATCGAGTAGCCAGCTTTGGAGTGGCAAGTTGAAACATGAGCGCTTGGTGCTCTGTGCAACGCGGGCACCAGGTGGCACGGTTGGCCTTGCAATTGCCGCACCTCGCTTTCAACGTGAAGGAGAAGGACAGCATACACATGAGTAGCCAGGGCTCCATGATCAACAATCTCCCGATTCATTTTGAGGGGGCGTGTCCCTTCCTGCAGAGGATCCGGCATTTGGATCATGTTTTGGGGCAAGCCACCCTCATCAAAAGAGCCCATCATGCACAAATGCGCAAGAGCAGTGCTCCAGGAGCTGTTCCTTCCCTTTGCCAGCCTATGGGGCTTCGAGGCAGTGAGAGGCGGCGAGCAACGCATGCCGCTGGATGAGGCGGGAATGGGTATGGCCAGTGGGGGGCATGGGGAACCGTGCACCTTTCTTAATGGGTTCAGGCGAACGTTACTTGAACACGCACACACCCACACACCCACACACACACACAGACACACATCCAGGGCTCCATCGCGCGTGTTTGATCCACGGGATGTTTGATCTCAATGCAGATCGGGTTCGGGTTAGAAGATCGGACCGTATCGGATCTTTCTGATGAGTGCAGGCTATCCGGCAGGCGCGTGCAGCTGATCTTGCCATAGCCGAGGCGGGTCGGGGAGCGTGAACTGGTAAAGCGTGCTCATCTGGCCGAGCCCATTTGTGTGTGGACTCGCTTTGTCGGTGAGACCAGGGAACCTGTAGACAAATTGTTCAAGGAGCACGGTGGTTTGTTGGCAAGGTCGACTTGCAATGTTTCGAAAGCGGCAGACGCACAACTCGAAAAAGACTATCTTGTTCAAGTGCGAGCGTGCAAGGGAGAGGGAGAAAGAGAGAGCGAGAGAGAGAGAGAGAGACTGAGAGACTGAGAGGGGGAGAGATAGGAGGGGGAGAGAGAGAGAGAGAGAGAGAGCGAGAGAGAGAGAGACAGAGAGACTGAGAGGGGGAGAGAGGGAAGGAGGGAGGTAGGGAGGGAGGGAGAGAGAGAGAGACAGAGAGAGGGAGGCTGAAAGGGAGACAGAGGGAAGGCGATACAGCCGACCCAGTGCACCCGGGTATTCTGCCACCACCGCATTTGGAAGTCCCCTCTTGTGAGGGCCAAGCAATCCGTGCTCCCTTTTCCTTGCAATCACCAACCACTCTTTTCTCTCCGGGGATTTGGTACGTCTCAAAATAGGAGTGCCCCCTCCAATATCGCCGCCTTTAACCCAACCCAACCCCAAAAAAACCAAAAAAACCTTTCACCCAACCCCAAAAAGGCCCCGTCCGCCGCCAAAAACTACATGCTTCCCGTGAGAACAGCCGCCAGGAGCGCCGGCTCAAGCAGGAGGCAGAGGAGCCGGCGCCCCGGGGGGTCCTCAAAAGTGGCGGACATGCGACATGTCCCCTAGGGTCCGAGACCCATGAAATTCACACACACACCCATATTATTTATATGTACTATATATTATTATTATTATTATTATTATTATTATTATTATTATTATTATTATTATTATTATTATTATTATTATTATTATTATTTATTATTATTATTATTATTATTATTATTATTATTATTACTATGTGGACATATCTACGGTAGGCCAGCACAGGGGTCGCGCAATTCGCTTTGGTCGAATCCGCGCAGCGAGCCAGTTCTGGGGAGGGGGCGCAGTCAGCGATTGTTGCTTGCCGTCCCAGCCAGGCCGAATATCCGCAAGACAAATGACATCTTTTGGGCAAATTATAGAGACGTCAGTAGGGGCTGTGACGTCACCCAAAGTGAAGGTTCTTTTCACAGGAGTCCCCTATTTTCGGTGTGAAATGTTATAATTTGCCCAGATTCTTTAGGCCACCTCAACCATCAGATTCCTGATCTCTGAATTGCCTGTGGCCATCCACCCTACCCCGAGGAATGTTGGTGTTTTGATTCATCTCTAGAGACTCCGAGCTGGCCATCCAGCCCAACCTTGCCACGTTTCCACGGAGTCAACAACCTCGACAGATCAAACTTCTTTGGGACCAAGCAAAGTTGAGCACTCGTCCTGGGTAGTGTGCACCTGATTTCAAGAGATGGGGTGATCTTTCATGACTTTTTTTGTCATGCCCCTGGGGCAAGACATGTCGGCCACAGCTGACTCAATTTCCATAGCTTTCCCGTCTAGCAGGGGAGATGACTGCTGCCCTGAGGCGCCTCAAGTCCACTGCTCCGAGCAGCTTCGGAGTACTCGACTGAGGCTGTGCGCGGAAAATGCGAGGCATGGAGCTTTCGAGCTGCGACGTTTTTCAAAGACTTTGGCTTAATCTTCGAGTGAGCGCACCGCCTCGTCGAGAATCACATGCTCTGAAGCCTCTAAATATTGTTTGCAGCTTGCTTGGCGTTGCTGGAATCTGCCTTGGCACAAGCCGCGCTACAGCAGTGCTTTGCCCTCCAAGATTGCCAGTATGATTGATTGGTTGATGGGTCAAACAGAAGCGTTTCTCATTGTGCTCACACCACAAGAACAGACCATTGCATGTCTCCGTGACTCCATTTATGGCTGCCGTGCGGGGGAAAAAAACCGCAGGTTGGGCGTTTGGAGTTTGCGGAAGCTGAACATGTTTTCCACTTTCTTGCCCATGGCAAGGCGCAGGGATGGCATCTTTTCCTGCTGCTGTCGATGCTGTGGCACAGGAGGCACCGGATGGGTCATGCTTTTGCAGCCCCAATGCTGGGTCCCACACAAGAGATATTAGGGTTGCGGAACGCTGCTTGCAGCTGGAAAAAGAGTTCCAGAGACAAGCTCTTCACCAAATAATTGGAACTAGCAAGCAGCACAATTGCAACACAAAAACTGATACATTTCCTTCAGAATGCTTCATAAACTAAATATACGCATGCATAGCATGCTCTTATTTCGAAATGGAAAAGTATGCTTTATTTGCTTTGCACTTCTAAGCAACAAGCAACAAGCATCCTGATGATAATAAGCTGATGTTCGGCCAGTCCTCAAACCCACAACCCCGTCAGCCTTGTATTACTTCTAATCCGCTCCAAATGCCACAGAGGGACACCAACCCGGCAACTCAGAGGCCCCGCAGTCCCTGGCCATGGAAGCCAACGGCACAAAGCTGAGCTATGCAGAGCTGGCGTCAAGGTCGCGGCAGGCAGCACGAGGCCCGAAACGAACGAACTCGCAGTGGGTTTGGACGGATGGACGGATGGACGGACAGGCTTGCTGGAGCTGGGCGTGCAGAGGTGCCAGCGGCCTGTGCTGACGAGCATGCAACGAGGACGGAATCGGATGCCTTTGAGGTCCATGGCTTTCAATGGCAAAGGTGGGTAGGTTGGCCTGACGGCATGAATCAATGGCTGTGAGCAACGTCTCAAGTGCACTCGAGTTTTAGCCTTCCTTGTTGTGGCATCCTCTCCTCTGCACCTTGGCTCCTTGTGTCTATTTCTCGTTGCATTGCTTGGTTTCTCCTTTTCAGTCTTCGTCTTTGTTTCTGCTTCCTTTGCTATCAGGTTTCTCAGCTTCAGTGTTGCTGAGGATTTGCTGATCGCATGTGAACCACACGCATTCCTGTGGGGTTTTACCCATCCAGGATGCGACTGGTATATCGTGTATGTTGCTGCATCACGCCTTGGAGCACCCCTCGCGCCGGCCCCGTCGACAAAAACACAACGTGTGGGCGCTTGACCTGCCGAGGCTGCCTTGGCCCGTGAGCCCCATGTGGCGAGTGGGAGTGCTGTGCGATGCAAGCAATTCCTGCAGCTGCGGCCACAGCTGGCGGTGGTGGCTTGGAGGGAATTGGTGTTGTCTGTCAACGTGACCGCCAATTTTGGGATTCTCCTCCCCTTTGGGATTCTGGTGCCACTCGCCTTTCCAAGGGGATACCAAAACGGCCCCTAATTTTGACAGCCCGCTTGGTTTGCTGATCTGACCATGCCTTAGAGAAGCTCAACCGAGGTGGACCACGCGGATTTACAGATTGAGGCTTGCCAATGCCCAGTCGCGCCAGCGCATGAATGTGACCAGTTCTGCGCACTTGATTCAAAGCTGATTCCGAACATTCTCACCAATATTTTGATGTTGCAAGTGAACCTGCGAGAGAGAGAGAGAGAAGAGAGACAGAGAGGGGTGTCCCGGAAAATCACATTTGACCACGGTATGGATGTGGAAATTTGCTTGTTGCTCCATGCTCGGGCCATGCGCGTGCGAGAGGACGTTCCCTCGTACCGCCTGGGTGATTTGATGAGGGAGAGCAGTCAGGAGCTTGTGGGAGGGCGTGAGGCGAGAGAGCCCGGAAGCAGAGCGTGGGGTTCTGGCCTTCCCACAGTGCCCAGATCTCCAGAGAACTGGAGGGCCAAGTGAGTCACGGTGTCCAGTGTGTGTCGCCGTGTAGGGTGGCCAGCCCTTCAATTCATGAGGGATCGCCATATTTTTTGTGATCTTATGCCATTGGCAGAGCCATGGTGCTTCCCCAGATCACACACATCAGGAGATCCCCGAGGTATGTCCTGACGATGTGCTTTGCTACTGCTGCTTGGCTCTGGAATTCAGCCTGGCAGATGCTTACATGGTGCGACAAAAAGGCCCAACCCTTCTGGACCTGTGCTTGGCTTGCTTGGCTTGCTCGGCTTGCTCGGCTTGCTTGGCTTGGCGCTTGGCTTGCTTGGCTTACTTGGCTGGCTTGGCTGGCTTGGCTGGCTTGGCTTGGCTTGTGCGCCTTTCTCGCCTCGCTTGGCTTGCTAGCCTAGCTAGCCTTGCTTGCTTGCTGGCTTGCTTGCTTGCTTGCTTGTTGCTTGCGTGCCTTTCTTGCCTCGTTTGGCTTGCGTGCCTTTCTTGCCGCGCTTGGCTTGCTTGCTTGCTTGCTTGCTTGCTTGCTTGCTTGCTTGTTGCTTGCGTGCCTTTCTTGCCTCGTTTGGCTTGCTAGCCTCGCTAGCCTTGCTTGCTTGCATACATTCGTTTGATGTGTTTGTTTTTGGAGGGCATTTTTTTTTTTTTTTTTTTTTTTTTAAAGATTTTTGTTTTTCAGGGTGGGTTGCTTTTCGGCTTTTTGCCTTTTTGGCTTTTGTGGCTTTTGCATGGTTTTACATCGCTTTTGTGACTTTTCATTTCGCGTCATCTGCATTCACAGTTCCTCTCTTTGGCGTTTTGCATCCTCTGCATTACCAGTTCCTCTCTGGCAGGTGGCTTTTTGGCTTTGTGGCTTTTGGCGGCTTTCTGGCTTTGGCTTTTCCGCCTTAGCTCGCTGCATCCTCAGCATCGCCAGTTTTGTTTGGTGCCCCCCGCTACCCCCCTTTCGATTAAAATGCACCCCTAATTGAATCAACCCCCCCCTTCTCGTTTTTAAATTAAGATGCACCCCTAAGTGAATCATCACTTTTTCGATGATCGGGGGGGGGGGCTGCCCCCCCCCCGCTACTTTTTAGATTCAACTGCACCCCTAATTGAATCATCACTTGTTCGATCATCATGGGGGGGTACTTTTGAGATTAAAATGCACCCCTAATTGAATCATCACTTTCTCGATCTTTTAGGTGTTTTACAGGGATTACATTTCACCCGTATCTGATCATGCTGAGGATGTAGGAAGCCCTGGATTCGCTGGTGATGCTGGGGATGTTGGCTGGACTTGCGTGGAAAATACGTACATTTCGTGAGGAAATGCTGTAATATACAGCATTTTACTAGCCAAGACGCAAAACAAAAGAAATCCCAAAATAAAAGCAAACAATTTCCCAAATTATATCTCGACCTTTTTTTTTGTGTCAAAGCCAGTCGGACCATTTGAAATGGTTGGCAACTCACGTTGTCCTCCTAAACCGTCCCAAAGAGACTTGCGCTCCTTCAAAACGCCAATCGTTTTCCATTGAAATGAACATGGCCTTTCAGCATTGGCGATGCGCTTGTAATCCAAAATTGAATTGGTATTCTCTTGCTTGCTTTTGGGCGTACAAAAACGGTTCCCTTGGATCCAATGCACTCTTCACATGGATCCGTTTTTTTGAGAGCACCCTTCTTGGGCTTGGTTCAAATGGACACCAAAATAATGCCACCCATATCAGGGGTTCGCTGACAGCGACAAGGCCTTCAATCACCACGCCACCAATGGAAACTCACTTGTTTTTGTGGCACATGGCGGGTGGTTCTCCAGCCCCACGAAGCACGGGTTGACCCTGCTGCTCTTGCGTGCGCCGACCTCCGTCTTTTTGGCCGGGGGGTGGGGGGGAGGGGGAGTGACTGGAGCGAAGCCGTGCTCGGCTTCGCTCCGGATCCGAGGCTTCACCGGGGGCACCACGGGGCGCCAGCGCCTGGTGCCCTGCGCGCAGGCGATGGCGCTGCACGAGCTGCGGCGCTACCCGGCAGCCCTCCACTGGGAAGGCGGAAGGGGCGGCAGCGTGGCGCTTCGGGCGAAGTGAAGCGCCCCCCCCCGAAAATGGCGCAATGGGTTTCTTCTCAGTTTCCCCGCAGACAAAAAAGCACACTTAAAAGAACCAAAAATCCAAGACAGAGCCAAGTGAATCCCTCTTGCAAATTTTGGCGAGCCTGTTTCGGGGGAAGGGGGTACTGTAAGCTGTACGTCTCGCATCTGATTTTAGCGTCTTTTGAAAGGCACACCCAACCATTTTTTCCCTGTTTGAGACCTCAAACATAGAGGGCTCCCTTTTCCAAAGCACAAGTCTCCTAGTTTGGAAAGGATGAGGGCGATTTCCAGCCAAACCCTAAACCCATCATGCTCTAAACCCAACTCTAAGTTTTAGCCCAATGCCAAACCCACCCTTAGCCCAACTCACACCCACCCTGAACACACCTTAACCCATCCTTAGCCTCGACAACACCCCGCCTACATTCATCCGAAACCAACCTTAAGGCGGACACCACAACTCAAACAACTAACCTCAACACTAGCATAAACCAAGCCTAAACCCAAGTCCGAACCGAACCTCAGACCCACCCTAAAGCCCCAACCAGCTGGTGATGCTCGTGGTGCTGACTGGAGCTGGTACAATTTGCAAGTTGATTGAGGTGAGACTTGCTGAAGCTGCAAACTGCATGTGGTGTTGGTCTCCAGCACAAGCATGGAAAAGCAAACACAGCGAAGCAGGCAAAACCAATTTAAATCTTCATCCGTTGAAGAATGGGGTCGAACGCCCCAAGCCAACACGCTGCTGAGAACATGCTTGGCGCAGTCAGCTTGTGAAACTAGCTTGTGGACACAGAACATGGCTGCCCCTCCTTAGACTTGAATGGCGTCGGCTAAATGAACACTATGCTAAGAGTTGTCCTGTTTTGAAGGCACAATTGTTGTTCCTTTCTTTCTTCCTTGCTTCCTTGCTTCCTTGCTTCCTTGCTTCCTTGCTTCCTTGCTTCCTTGCTTGCTTCCTTGCTTCCTTGCTTCCTTGCTTCCTTGCTTCCTTGCTTGCTTGCTTCCTTGCTTCCTTGCTTCCTTGCTTCCTTGCTTCCTTGCTTCCTTGCTTTTTTGCTTCCTTGCTTCCTTGCTTCTTTGCTTCCTTGCTTCTTTGCTTCCTTGCTTCCTTGCTTCCTTGCTTCCTTGCTTCCTTGCTTGCTTGCTTCCTTGCTTCCTTGCTTCCTTTCTTCCTTGCTTCCTTGCTTCCTTGCTTCCTTGCTTCTTTGCTTCCTTGCTTCTTTGCTTCCTTGCTTCCTTGCTTCCTTGCTTCCTTGCTTCCTTGCTTGCTTGCTTCCTTGCTTCCTTGCTTCCTTTCTTCCTTGCTTCCTTGCTTCCTTGCTTCCTTCCTTCCTTCCTTCCTTCCTTCCTCCCTCCCTCCCTCCCTCCCTTCCTCCCTTCCTTTCTCTCTCGCTTCCTTCCTGCCTCTCCCTCTCGTTCTCGCTCTCCCTCTCCCTCCCTCTCCCTCTCCCTTTTGCTCACGCTCCCTCTTGCTCTCACTCTCACTCTCGCTCTTGCTCTCGCTTGAGCTCTCGCTTGCACTCTCTTTTCCCTCTTGTGCCCCAGGTGGATGCAGCACGCAGGCGCGACAGCTTCGCTCAGGGAGAAGTTATGCTTTGTTTTGCTTGCTAACGGTCATGCTTGCATCAACTGCTTCGCGCTTCCCAGTTGCTTGAATTGTTGCAGGCTCGGGTTTTGCAGCCATCCTCACTGCAATGGGCAGCTGCAGTTTTTGGTACCTTGCTCAATCGTGCGTGTTGGATTCCTTGGCAGTTTGTGACTTGAGACCAACAGATCCTGGAGATTTACAGATCAAAGAAGATTCAGATGGCAGCCCAGCGTCTGTCAAGCTGGACCTTTGACTTTCGGGTAGGGGCCGACAGCTTTTGAGCCCCGAGGACAGCTTGACGTGGCCCTTGCCTTGCGAGGCTGCGCGGTGGTCTCCGAAACTCGGCTGAATTCAGTTGGACTCTGCCCGCCCGGAAGCTCGGCCCAGGAGGACCTGGATGTCAAGGAGGGTGCCTCTTAACATCGAGCTTTCCCCTGTTGCGAGCCGGGTCACTGGGTTCACGCGAGAGGCTCCGTGGGCCACGGGCCAAGTCCAACCAAAAAAGAACACCCGAGCAGGAAGAAGCGCTTGGTAGTGGTTGATGGGGCGTCAATTGACCTCCCAGTTTTGTTTGAGCCACGGGGTCACAAGGACGCACCATCCCTGTGGAAAAGTGGGGAGTTGACTGGTTCATGCTGCAGGACTTAGCGGCCACCGTGCGCCATCACAAGGTGCCAATCTTCAGACCTCGCGTGGTCGATACGTCAAAATGAGCTCGACCTTGCAAAACGGCAAATGTGTCCAGATTGGTGAGTTGCCACTTACTTGGCAGCTGGTGTGTGACTGAACACAAGTAACAATTCGCGCAGAGTACCCAGTGAACAAGCAGGATGCTGGAAGCAGTTGGGCATGACAGCTGGAGGTTTCCATTGTTGGCCTACCGCCATCGATGCTGGCCTTGCTCTCGCCGGTGGACTTCATAGATACCAGGAGCAGTGCGTGATTTGGCAAGTACGTTAAAGTTTGCACCACATGGCTGTGGGTCAAAACCAATTGCACCATTTTGGGGTAGGTGCACCACCCATTTTAGAACCCATTTTAGTTGGCATTGGGATGTTCACTAGGGATACGGGATTTTGACCCATGGCCACATGAGTACGGCCTCCAAAGGCCTCTTGGCATCCTCCCTCACTTAGCAAGCCTGGCCTGCGCGCGAGCCGGAATCAGCCAGGACTCAGGGTGGTTACAGCTACCTCCGCTGCTGGGCTTGGAGATGGCAGCTCATACACCGTCCCGACGGATTTCGTTTGTCCTATTGAATTGAGGTTATGCAGAAAGCCATTGTGTTGGCTGGTCTGGCAGGCAACCAGGTCAGATGCATTCATGCAGATGTCAGATGCCTTGACTGCTTTTTGTACAGGCATGATAGGAATTCCAACTCTAGTTTCAATTATACCATGTCGAAACCTTTGTGAGAGCTGCTTCTTGAGCCACTTGGGACCCTGAATATCCGAGGTCGATTGATCTCCTGGGGCGAGCCTTGCCCTGCCGTGTCATCCTTAGCCGTAATTTGCTAAGTCCGTTTGCCGCACCCGGCCTAGGCAGTGGCAGAGCTTTGGGGAGCGCCGAATCTGCCATGGCGGTTCCTGGATGTCCTGATATCCACAGAGTGCGCAGTTCTGCGCGGGAAGGTCTCCACACCAAACCCAGATAAGCTCAGAAGGGTTGCTGCCGGGAGCAATTCATTCCGCTTGGTTTGACAAGATAGTCCTGGACTTGAGGTACTGGCTCTCGTTTGTTTCCTATGAGCAGGGGCCTTTGTCCACCTGGGCGTTTTTTTTTTTTTTTTAAATCCAGCCCTTTGTGAGGCGAGAAGATGGGCGAAGCCTCTTCAAGCCGGCCATGGCCTCGTGACGAGACCGAGGTTTTGTCGAGTCTCTGTGCCGTTTCGCTCAGGTGCCCGACGTAGAGGTTTTCCTGCGGCCGATGGGTGTGATGCCAAGCTTCATACGTCGCCGCGGGGCTGGACAGGTGTACAAAGTAACGGGCTGTTGAATATATGTGTTTGGCTCAAGCCTCCCCAAGACACACACACACTTGTAGCCAGCGGGTTTGTTGCGATATGGCTATCATGAAAGCGATGAAGGCGATGAAGGCCATGAAGGCCATGAAGGCGATGAAAGCGATGAAGGCCATGAAGGCCATGAAGGCGATGAAAGCGATGAAGGCGATGAAAGCTATGAAGTCGATGAAGGCCATGAAATCGATGAAAGCTATGAAGGCTGCTGACGATGAGGAGGCGCCGGTCATGAAGTCGATGAAGGCCATGAAATCGATGAAGGCTATGAAGGCTATGAAGGCTATGAAGACAATGAAGGCAATGAAAGCGATGAAGGCGATGAAGGCGATGAAGGCGATGAAGTGATCGCGCCTTACTCAACGGCAGTGCCGGGTGTTTCATTGGCCTGTTTGAATGGCTCCAGTTGGCATCGCAGGTGCTGGGAGGATTTTTCATTGGTCCATAGGGCCAGCGGAATCAGTGAACAACGCATGTACAGCCTTGCGGAGAAAAAAGGACAACAAGACTCGTTCGAATCCCGCGACACGGCCACCTTTTCGGGGATTCGAAGGGCCGCGACGCCAAACCAACCAGAAGGTTCCTACTCTCGACACATGCTCTCTGCCTGCCAAGGTGAGGACTGCCATCATGACTGGGTCTTGGCTGATCCATGTGTGAAGCTCGCGGTCCAGGGGAAAAGGCTTTTTGCTGGAAATGGATTCAGCGAGTCTGAGGATAAGTTGGCCAACCGCCGACCGCAAGTGCATGTCCACAGACCTTCATAGACAGTTCTTGCATCCGAAGGGCTTTGCTCATTCCAGGCCGAGCTGTGCATATCTGGGCCAGGGGTTTGCAGGACATTAGGCCGCAGCCTGAGAAGCACAGGTCTCCTCAGCCAGCCGCCTTGGGCGCCGCCTTGGGCGCCGCTCGATCCGAGGTGCCGAGGCCGAGGCGCGGGGTGCGGGTGCGGGGGGGTGTCTGAAGGTGCGGCTTCTCATGGGGGCAAAAAAAAGGGCAAGCCCAAAATGGGTTGGTCATGGAAATGGCCAAAACCTGCGGTTTTTCTGATGGTTTGATTTTGACCCTTTTTCTCATTTCAGGCCGCTCCAGAGGTGTTCTCAGCCGTCGAAAATCGTCGAAAGCACCCAGGAAGCTCTGGCGCTTGAAATTGCCGGGGATGCAGACAGCACCGACACCTCATACTCGGGATGCTGTAATGCCAGCCTGCTAAAGTATCGACCCTGCCAGATGGCAATATGGCAATATGGCCACCAAGGGCTGGAACGGCACAGTGGGCATTGATAGCGCTGATCAAAGTCAGGTTCGAGAGATTGAATGAGGATGTCATGAGCCGGCAAGTGTCAGAAGACATAGATTCCCACTCTCACAGGTTCGAGATCAGGGGGAGGGCTTTTGGCAAGGTGTGGATGAGCTTGATCGCAAGAGACAATGGATCAGTGGATGAGTAGTCCAACAAATGCCCGGCAGAGGACATGTGGCAGAACGGGGCCAGATATTTGTTTTCGGCCAGGCGTTTGTGGAGCACCAGAGTGGCAATCTCAATGATGTGCAAGCTCTTGATTCCTCACTCTCCTGAACCTGTGTGTGGAGATGTTATTGGCATGGGACATGATCATTTCCACATGGCATTTGCCGCTGTCATGCGTACTCGCCGGCCGAGTCGTGCTAACTGACATGGACAAACAAATGATTGCCGCCATTTTTTCAGACACGCTTTTGAAGCTCGCAACGGGTTCATCCTGCACCTGGAGGAACAGCACTTGACAAGCTCAGATGCGGATCAGTAGTTGGGTTGTCGAGCATGGCTGGCCATGCAGGGGCCCGAGTGCTGTGGTATTCAGCTGGGCCCAGTTTGTCAAAGGGCCAAAAGGAATCCAGCCATTTGAAGTCCCACACGCCGATCTGATTGGTAGAAATCGGGTGTGGGAAAGGGTCTCAGTGACGCCAGGACACAAGATGATGCTGCGGAGGCTCAGGGTTTTGGGCTGCTCCAGAGATGCGTTCAGCGGTTGCAGGAGTCGCCGGTGACTCTTCGCTTGCTGGCTCATGTGGATGAGGACTCTGTTTTCAAATATGGACAATGGTTGAAGCTTGGAAGCTGCATGTCACGCAAGTTCTGAAGCAGGCATGGCTGTGAGCTGTCAAGGTCTAGCTCATTGTCATGCATGCAGGATGGCGGACAGGATGAGCAGACTGCAAAGAAGGAGCTCATGAACCCCCCCGAGATTGCTCCAGAGCAGCTCGGAATGGAATGAGATTGCATTATGGAATCTCTCTATGAGATTGCATTCAGGCAGAATGGGAGTCTTTCGTCGCTTTTTTCCTCACATTTTGCTGCTTTGAGGATTCTGTGTGGGTGTAGGCCAACGCTATCCCCAACTGATTCGGAGTTACACGATGAACTTTTTCTCGAGATAGTGCTGCGCGCTGAGAAGCGTTGGCACCAGATCCAAAGGAGGCAGCAGGTGAAGCGAACACAAACTGGACCAACGTAAGATGGCACCCCCTAAGAGGCCTGGCGTGCAACAGACTTTGTGCAGGCTGTCACCTCCAGCCCAGTACCGCTGGTTTGTACGAACTGGCAACCTGTGCAAACAGCAAGAGAAGGGCAAAGCAGGTGGTGTTCTTGCTCGTGGGGCTGTTTGCGGCAAGATTGATCAGTCTTTTGCGAAGACCTCAGTCGCCCGCGATGAACGGGACTCCTGGTGACCTGAGTGGATTGAGGCCAGCTGTGACTCTTCGCTTGCTGGCACATGTGGATGAGGACTCTGCGGGGAATCGGATGCCCTGATCATTTTTCAGGTAGGGCTTCGAACAAGCTCTTCAAACGCATGAAGCAAACCCCATGAATCTGAACACGGACATTACATTCAAACTGGGAATGATCGGGTTCGGGTTGGGTCTAGGCCTCGCGGTGTAGTTTGACAAGCCGATTCCAGCCAAACATGTCACCCATTCTGTTTCCAAAGGGGTTCTAATTCATTGTGATGCATGCAGGATCTCAAACAGGAGTCACGGACTCCAAAGAAGGAGATCGTTGCCGACACAGCTCCACAGCTGCTCGGAATGGAATGGAATCGCATTGTGAAATCACTTTATGAGAACTTTCGGGGATGGGGAGGGGAGGGGGAGGGGAGGCTTTTCGAGAGCCGGTTGCGCATTCAGGCAGAATGGGAGCCTTTCGTCGCTTTTTTCCTTGCCACAGAGCCATGTTTGCCTACACACATTTTGCTGCTTTGAGGATTCTGTGTGGGTGTAGGCCAACGCTATCCCCAACTGATTCGGAGTTACACGATGAACTTTTTCTCGAGATAGTGCTGCGCGCTGAGAAGCGTTGGCACCAGATCCAAAGGAGGCAGCAGGTGAAGCGAACACAAACTGGACCAACGTAAGATGGCACCCCCTAAGAGGCCTGGCGTGCAACAGACTTTGTGCAGGCTGTCACCTCCAGCCCAGTACCGCTGGTTTGTACGAACTGGCAACCTGTGCAAACAGCAAGAGAAGGGCAAAGCAGGTGGTGTTCTTGCTCGTCGGGCTGTTTGCGGAAGTCGCCCGCGATGAACGACTGGTGACCGCCTAAGTAGATGGAGCAAGCCCGTGCTGCGCAACAAATGCTTCGTGCGCAAATGCGCATTTTGGTCATTGACTGCGCAAGCATGAGCTATGCATGTGGCCTTTGCCGTGCGTTCGCCATCCGCAAGTGGCTGCGCAAGCTCTGCAAGTCCCTTCAAGCAACTATTCAAATGTGGAGTGTCACGTTTGCCGAAGGCAAGCGCATTGGGCAAATGTTGGGTACAAGCCAAGAGAGCGAAGCAGGTGAAGACAGTGGAACTAAACATGGAACAAAGCCACGTGCAAGAGACAAAGCGAAGCAACAAATCAGCAAAGCAAGCACGAGGCACCCGCAAAACAAACTAGCGTCAAACAACAGCTTTGAAGGGAGGTCAACACACCAATCAGGAAGCAGTACATGGAGCAATTTGAGCGATGTTGAAGCAACACTTTGTTGTAAACGCTTCGCGTTGCCCGCCTCGGCCAGAAAGCCTTTGGCTGGCTTTGAGGTACTGCCTTGAAGTGTTGTGTGTTGCTTGAATGAGTGAGTCGGCGCCGAAATGCGCGGGGTGCATGTTGTGGCCTCAAGGGCTAGATAGAACAAGAGCCGCAGTCAGAGAGCCACAGGTGGACTGGGGCAAGCAAAGCCTTAGGGCACATGTACCTGGTTTCTAGCGGGGAATTCGGCTGGTTTCTTGGGGGAACGTGACCGCTTTCTTTGGGGGTTTACAGGGGATTTGACTCGTTTCCAGAGGGGCATTTGACCGGGTTCTAGGCCGGTTTAGGGCAGGAACCTGGTGCTTTGGAGAGAACAATTGTGTTGCGATGCGCTCCGTGATGGGGGTGTGTGCAGGCTTGGAAGGGTCGAAGGGCTGTGAACGGACCAACTTTGCAGTTGGAGGTTCTGAAGGGGTCTGACCGCTTCCCTGTTCTGGGGGATGCAAATTTTGGTGATCTGAAAGCCGTATGCCATGGAATATGTTGTGTCATTGCTTTTGCTCAACACATGGAGAGCAGAAGTTGCTGGAATTGGAGGAAGCAGGGTTGCATACGTTGTGCTAAGTTAACCAAAGACCGCAAAGTGATGCGCGAGTCTCGTTTCTATGCCGAAGTGACTTGGAAGTCCAAGGCTTTTCCGCGACGTCTCCCTTGAGCCCTCGAGGTTTGCTTGTGCTGAGGTGCGGCCGCAGCCTGTCAGACAACCCCCACTTTGCACACTCGGCGCACGTCGAGATCCGTGCGTGCCCTGGCGGGATGGCTCTCTTCTGTCCTGCCTTCTTGTTGAGGGTCGCCACTTGTGTGGTGTGCCACGGGACGCAGTGTCCAACCTCGTGGCTATTTTCTGAATGACGAGCCTGGTGAAGACCTTGTAGTGGCAGAGCAATGAATATGGGCTTGCGTTTTTTGAGGCTATCCTGTTTGGGGTAATTAGCTGTAAAGTTGAATCCGTGCATGTTGGGGGTACATCCACACCAAGGTTCAGCCATGACAGAACGCGGCGACTGTCCAATGAATCCAAAACTTCGCTCGGTGCACGCCTTGAAGCCTGGCTGCACGGTGGGGCCACTGGGACCTTGGGACGTTTGGAAAGTGAAGGCATAGGCCCTAGGGCCATGACCGGGGAGACTGACGCTACCTGATTTGTGCCATTGACTCTTTCTGATTGAATACTACAGCACCTTTGGCTGCGGGTCAAAAAAGAAACGCCAAAACGGAACCAGGCCCTCGTTTAGTTTTGACCCCTGCCCATATTTTTGGCTTTTCCCTGAGCGGATTGTCACTCGCACTCAGGCGGAGCCAGAGGACCGGAGCGAAGGGTGGAGGGGCCGACCTTTTTTTGTCCAACCTAACTTTCAAAAATGATCATTGGTCTTGAAATATTTTTGATAGGAGGAAATCATCTGTCTCTAGGAGTTCATTTGTTGGGTCACAATGGCGGTTCGCGGGTGGCCCAATTCCCTTCCTTTCATTGGTAATAGAAGGGGACAGACGAGAAGGTAACTCAGCCCCAGATGTACCCACTATATTTGTGCGGGCTGAGGAAAGATGCCGATGGAAGCATTCTCACAACATTCCCCTGGATTTCTAGGATTGTCAATGATAGACGAGATAATGTGAATGTCTGGCCTGTTTTTCGTTCTCCATTCTATGATGTAGGTGAAAGACATGCCATTCCTCATAGCTCATTCTTGTTCCACGTCCTAAAGCAATTCCACGTGTGGGGCAAAGGAAAATAATGAGAGTGAAAGGAATGGGTTCTTGATTCGTCTTTATGTGAGTGTCCATGAGACATAGAATGCTTCTTGGATGATTTCTTCGAGAGAGGTACTTTCTGGGAAATTCGAAGGGCCAGCTGGCATCCCCCAAGCCGGAAGATTTCTGGAGCTGGGAAGTTCAGACCACGAGATCCTGGTGCCCTGGTGAAGCGGTGGATTCATCGAAATAGTGCAAGTTTGCCTTACCCCAGTTGCGGCAGCTTCGGCCACCGGCAAGGCTTTCAGGCTATTGATTTGCATCTTGGGCTTTACTTAGTTTCGGTGCACAAAGGTTCGAAAACCGACATTTTCCTTTGGGGCTGGTCCCCCCTGGCATTGCTGCCCAGAGACTTGCTTGTTTTGACCCATTTCCTTCTGCTGCATGCTCGACATTGGGCTCATCTTTTTTTTTGAGTTCGTGGCTAGGACATGTCCTGCATGATTCTAGTAAGTTTGGTCACGGCGACCTGGTCACGTCAGCCAAAGATAGCCAGAAAAACGCTCCAAGGTGACTGCCCGCACTGCTATGACCGAATGATGTGTCTGACGAAGGATTGAATACCAAGTGGCGTAAGGATTGTGTAGCTGTTTGCTAACAAGGTGACTGAGCCGAATCAACACATCTTCTAAGGATCCGGTTGCCTCATGTGAGGAACAATCACCTGGTCGAAGGCTAGTATGGGCGACAGTCCAAACCACGAACATCTGCAAGACATGCGTGT